TAAGTTGATCTCAGAGCAAAATTTATTAAAGCAAAAGATTCCCTAATCTTTATATAGCATACTTTTTCCCCTTTATATTAAATATCAGAGGAAAAATTTGAGCTGTCACATTTGTCCACCTCTAGAATTTGGCCAGTTTCTGTCCTCCATGGCTCTGGCCTGTTAACACTAGACAGTTCCAGAAATCTTTTACTCCATGTTTAATCAATATAAAATTTTACACTGACTAGCTGTCAGTTTTATTTTAAACTGACAATTTCCCTTTTTGTTGATGTTGCTGTTGTTTTATTGTTGGTATTTGAGACTGGGCCTCTCTACATAGTCCTAGCTATCCTGGAACTCACTTTGTAGACCAGGCTGACCTAGAATTCATAGTTATCCATAGGGCCTCTGCCTCTCAAGAGCTTCAATTAAAGGTGTACCCAGCTTTGATAATTACTTTTCAACTGATACATGGGGGTGGGGGGGTTGCTTCCTTAAAATGTTGCTACATAGGACTCAGAGGCAGAGGCAGGAGATTCTCTGTGACTTCAAGCCTACTCTGGTCTATAGAAGGAGCTCCAGGACAGCCAGGACTATATAAAGAGACCCTGACTCAAAAATAAATAAATAAAATCTTGCTACAACTAATAATTTTAATTTAATTGTTTGATAACCTCTGAAAAAAACTGGATATTTTGCCCAAATATTTCAAGATCTTCAGCAATCTCAAAACTGCTGTTTAAGGAATTCTGTGGTAGCCCTTCTCAAATCTGCATGTAGTACAGATTACAGGCTATGATTCGATTAATGAGCATACTACCTTTGACCACACTTGGCACTCAGTTCTGTGATCCGTCCTCAGGATACAACTGTAATGTTAAGAACAACTTGGACTGAGGATCCTTTGTACTTCGAGTTCTACACTAATGAAAGCCCACGCCACTTGACTTTTGCAACACCTGTATCTGAGCCAGTCCCAGCAGCTTAATTACACTCAATCACCAGCTGTCAATTGATCAGAACAGACCCAAATTAAGCAAATGCTGGGCAAAACTGAGCTGTTTCCACATCTTATGTCTGTGGTCTGTGAGTGCTTGCCCACATTGTCCAGCAGGTCTGAGCATCTTAGCTTTGAGCTGCTGATTCTATCAAACTCAAATTGTTTTGAGATTTTATTTTAGCAGGAGCTGAGCAAACAAACTGGCTCAGCTCCGGGTTCTCAACAATGATATTACTGACATTTTAGAATTCACAATTTCTTTATTTTGAAATGTTATCTTGTGCTATAGACTGTTAGCAGCACGAGCAGCCTGGACCCACTGCTGCCAGCAGCACCCCTTTCCCTTGGTTCATCTCGGGTATTACCAAAATCCTCAGGGTGAGGGAAATCACATCAGGCCAATAGTTTAGTCTAGTCCAGTCATTTTTGCCCTTTGTTGTTATTGTACTGGAGACTGAAGCTAGGATCTTGCGCATGGTAGGCAAGCACTCTCTCACTGAGCTAGCCCCAGCCCACACCAGTTTTTAAGAAGTATACAAAACTTAGAGCAGATTAAAAAAAACTAAATGATCAACAATATCCACCTAAAGTCTGTGTGTTCCTGATATGGATCTTAATGATTCATAAGATTACAAGTGTTTGAGATCTTACTGTTAAAGTCCTTAATACACAATGAAGCCTTAATACACAGAAGATCCTCAGAGTCAAAAACACTGTTCTAGATCAAAGTAGCCAATGAATTCCACAAGGTTCAACAGCTGGTAATTACAGAGATAAGACTAAACCATGACAGTTGTTCTCAGCTAAAACCAAAGTTCTGAATTTTAACTCTCCAAAGTCACACAATTATTTCTATTATGGCCCAAGGACACAATCTTTAAGTCACAAAACATATATAAGCATGAATATCTTTTTTACTACTTTTATATAAAAATATTTAAAATAGATATTTTATATGTTCAAGAATGAGAAACTGATGAATGATAGAATAGTCTCAAATTAATAGCTAATTTAAGCATATAGGGCAGTATTTTTTAAAGTTCTGAATCATGATGATGATAAATTATACAAAAAAATATGATCCAATTTATACAAACACATATTTGTACAAATAATTACTTGTACAGTTAGACATTTATAACCTGACAGAATCAATATCAAAAACTTGATGGCTATTAAAGTGATGGGAGAGCCGTTTGATAGGATTTGTCCATATATTTCGATTTTCTAAATGAAAAATAGCTTATGCAGGAACATTTTAGTGTTTCTATAAGCACATCTATTTCACACACGAGACATCCTAAGGGGAAAAAGCAGTGACATCTACATAATAGTAAGTGGTGGTAAAGGAAAGCAGGAAAGGCCATGGGTTTCCAGGCTCATCATTTTGTATGATCCAGAGCTGTTTCCAGGCTCATCATTTTGTAAGATCCAGTCCTCCTGAACCAGCTTGCTGGCTCTGTGATGATGTCACAGCGATCTGAGTGGTCTACTCTGTGAAGTGATAACCTCCTTGCTGACTGACAATCTGTTTCTAAAACATTGAGATATCACTGCTTCGAATTAAACCACAGAGATCAAGAATTTACAAGTTATAGAGTCCATACCATATGATAGAAAAGGATAAAAAGCAGGAGGCTTAAGAGGCTGTGGGTTTAATTGGGGTGCTTTGGGTTTGTTTTGGGTTTGATTTGGTTTGGTTTGGTTTGAGCTTTTTTGAGACTTTATCTTTCTACATAGAGCTACATAGGCAGGAATTGTTATGTAGACCAGGCTGTCTTTGAACTCACTGAGAACCTCCTTCCTCTGCCTCCAGAGTGCTGGCATTAAAGGTATGGGCCACTACACGCAACTTGTGTTTGTTTGTTTGTTTTTGGTTTGTGTGTGTGTGTGTGTGTGTGTGTGTGTGTGTGTGTGTGTGTGTGT